CTGTATATGTATGTATATATAAAATTACATTGCAGCCTACCTACCTGGGATGGCCAGGTGGTACAGGGGGGTGTCCCACAGAGCACATGGCAGGTGGGACATCCAGCTCTCCATGGGGAGGCCCCTCAGGCTCAGCTCCTTCTGCCCAGAGGACATCCTGAGTTCTGGAGCCTTCCTTCCTTCCTTCCTTCCTTCCTTCCTTCCTTCCTTCCTTCCTTCCTTCCTTCATTTTAAAAACAATATTTTATGCGAATATGACAAATAAAGAGTAATATGTACCGAAGCCGTGACGTCAGGACAAATATATTCATGAATGTTACTTTCTGTGTAGTAATGTGAGAGGTGCATCTCTGTTTGTACTACTTACCTGATGGACTGCAGCTTCTCGTTTCTTCAACAATCAACCAGCCGGACCGTGACTAACAGAAACGGGCCAGAAGACGAAGCTGCCCATCCCCGAAGAGTTTTAGGAAACAAGTCATTTCGTCCACCGTGTATGACGCGACGCGCTGACAAAGCGCGGGCTCGGTTCCTTTCCTTGTTACCTGTGTGCACCTGCGGAACCCGGGGGCAGTGCGAGCTCGGCGCATGTTAGGTCCGCGTCTCCTGGGCCGCTCCAGGTGCAGCAGAGCTGGGTGCGTCTCCCGCCGGTCCCGCCGGGAGTCCAGCGGTCCTCCTCCGCGGAGCTGCGGCGGGATGCCGGCTGACAGATCAGCAGATGCACAGAGGCTGCTCTCTTAAAGAGCCCTCTGACGTGATGTAACACACGATTCACATTCTCAATGACAGCGAGCTAAAAACCAAGGCTGGCTCCGTCAGGACCCGGGGACTGCAGCAGCAGCTCCAGCCTGGTGATGTCTCCTCAGCTGTTTCTAACAGGAACTCATGTTGTGCTCAGAGGTARAACCAGAGGGTACAACATGTCCCAAACTCACTCTGCTCAGCCCGACTCTCACTGTAACTTTAATCAGGCTGAGCCAGGGACGTCACCGGTGGAGGGAGGAGATGGGCACGAGGGGGTAAGGGCCACCCCTAAAAGTATTGTTGGGTTGCAGTCACGTGACCCGGATGATGCGCAAAATTCAGATGTGGGGGGGCCAGGAAGTGATTTGCTCTGGTTTAAAGCACAGCAAAATGGATCACAGCTAGTACGCTGATGCCCTAAATGGGTTGGTTCTATAGATATTTGTCACACTATCACAGGGCTGTTCAACTGATGGCCCACGGGCCACATCCGGCCCGCGAGTGCCCAAAGTTTGGCCCACCAGTTGGTTCATTCATCTCTTAAGCACAAACCCCCGGTTTTCTACTTAAATTACTCTAAYTTCATTTAGTTAAACATAGACATGTTTGGTATCCACAGAAACGCCAGAACCTTGGCTACAAGCTGGTAAAAACCATTTCTATCAACACCCAAGACAGTTAAAACTACCAACAGCTGAAGATAAAATTATGAAAGTGAAAATAAAATTGGTTTAAAAATTTAGCAAGTCAGAGATGTCAAAATATTATTTGTGTTAAAAAGGAGCAGTTTAGTTGAATGTCCTGCATTATAATGTTTTACCCAACTTTTGCTCTATCTATCTATCTATCTATCTATCTATCTATCTATCTATCTATCTATCTATCTATCTATCTATCTAT